TTGCTGTGTCTCTGTCAAATAAATAAAGAAAATCTTTAAATAAATACACACATACATACATAAAACCAAGATAGAGATCAATCAACCAAAAGGCAGACCAAATTCATTTAACTGAATTTTGCTGCACTGTTGTTTATAAGGCAAACGAAAGAAGAAACATTCCCATGAAAAGATAAACAATAAATTTAACCATACCTGACTACCTGATAAAACAATCTTTTAAAATATTAAAACAAAACATAAATCTAGTTGACAAAACCTTAAGTACTCCTTAAAGTTTCTATTCTTCCAAACAGATGAGTCCCAACTTTAATGATAAGAGGTAGATAAGAAACCTTCCTGGTTTTTTGGGGGGAGGAGAGGAAGCAGTGGGTCAGTGGCTACGTAGGGCATACATATGTTTGTTCAAACTGTGGATAATGGGAAAGCTGAGAGAAGCAATCAATGTGTTAACTAGAGGAAAGAAATCAATCCCTTTGTTTACCAGATCTTCTCTTAACAGTGATGTAATAAAATACCCAGTCATCAGGTAGAAAGTTATCTTCTTCATTAGCTTTGAAACTGATCCTGCAGATCTCCAGAAAGGAGTCACTAAAAGAGGCAGACTTAACTTTTTCTTCTACAATTAGTTTGAGGTCTTCACATGTGTATCAGGCCTCCTATCTATATATGAAAATTGTCTGTGGCTGTCTGTATAAAGTGGTATTTCTCTACAGAAAGGTTTAGACGATTTTCACAATGGCATGCCCATTTGTGTACTTTTTTTGAGCAATAATTCAAATGCTGGGATGTGCAACTTGATCTCACACATTACTGAATTCTAATGTTGCTTAGATTTTTTTTAGATAAACAACCGTATCATAACGGCTCCTCTCCTCTCCTAACAATTTCAAAGTGCCCAGAAAATCCCTGACCAAGTTTCTAACTAAATCCTAGAATTAAACAAATAAATTAATTAGAAGATCAGACAAATAGTAAACAAATAATTACAAGGCTCACTGTTTCTT